ATCTGAAACTTTAGTATTGTCCGAATATATTGTCAACCATTGTTGAGAGAAATCGATATTTCTGAATTACTTGTATTTCATCTGCGATGCATGCTGTACAATTTTTCCTTTGATAGAAATTCAATTTGAATTACAATACCAAACATTTTTAATTTTACATGCTTCTTGAGAATCGAAAATATTTATTTATTGAAGACCTATCTAAAATCGGATGAGATAAAATTAGCGACGATCTCGTGAATGCTATTAAGGTTTCACGATCTTAGATACGCATATCAAACTCACGCGTATTTTTACAATAACGATATCGTACGCGACGATATTTTCTCGTTGATAAATTATTCATAATATTGCTGCAGTCGTTTTCACGAATGTGATGTGGACGCTCGAGTACGCACCGATGCGTGGCCTGGACAACATCGCTATACTCACGGAGACCGTCTGGGAGGAAGACACGTAGATTATGTCGTCAACCTGAGGAGATTGTTTTATCGTCACGCAAAATACTTTTAGTTCCACAATACTCTCCAACGTGACAGCTATATATCAATTTGATATATATTGTGTATTCATACTCCATTACGACATATTAAATAAAAATTGAGCATTCTGTTTTCCGGCTGAATCAATTACTCTCCCGTCTATATTCAGACTTGCAGAAATATCTATAAAACGAAAAAAAAAACGTAGCTTGAGGAAAAACTCAAAAGACGAACCAATTAGTGATACGATAAATCGGTGCGGTGGTCCATAACGAGGTATACCAGAAGTAACAACAAACAAGATTCGTTTTTTTATTAATTAATCGTTTATAATAACATTGTGTGTGTGTTTTTGTGAGCTCTCTTAAATCTTCTGTTTTCTCTTCATATATATATGTACATATATATATATATATATATATATATATATATATAGAGCAGCTTTTTTTCTTCTGTTTCTCTTACTTCACCTCGATCTAACAAGGAGTAAGATCGTCACGCACCGATTCATAGAAAAAACAAAGCGCAAGATTACTGAATGACAAACGTAGCTGGCGTTTCTCTCTCTTGGCATGCTTAAGAGACGACGCGATATATTTCCTTTTCATTATTTTTTTTTTTTCGTTTATATTGAAACGTATTATATAGTCGATTTGCGCTACCTCCTGCTCCCGCTTCATACGTTCTTAATGTCGACACGAGAGAAAGAATGACAATAATTGGCGACTAATTAACATTGTCCAGATATCTTCGTAGCCTTCTCCTTAAACCGCCCCTCTGTCAGTCACTTTGATTCGTTATAGCGCTCTCTCCCTCCGTCAGTGAAGCTTTCCTTGCGGAACGAAAGTCCACGGTTCCCAGAACGATTGTCGTCGATCACGTCGGTATCCGTTTAAGATCGTACCAAGCCTGTGATTTTTCCCATCATATTTCAGTCTCAACAAACTCCTAAAATAAATTATATTCAGAGAATAAAGCTGTCAAGTATAATCGTTAAATTTATCGCGCTTATCTTTCACAAGTTTAATTTTCAGCGCTCGCGCTGAGAAGAATGAAGAATCATTCGCGAACGATTTACTGTGAAAGAACCATTCTCAGATAGTAAGACTTTCAGAAACGGACACTCGTATCGACGCTCGTCGACCTGGGATATGTGTGTGTCTTGTGTACGTGTGTAAATGCGCGGAGGGCGGGCGTTATATTTATTCTATTCGACACCTATATAGTAGGTGAAATCAACCCAGTGCCTTATGTCTAAAGGTATCTACGAAGACCGAAAGAAACGTCCGGAAAATTGTGAAGGATTGTTGGGCGCACCTGCGTTCCTTTCAGCATTCGAGAACTCGTTCGCACGCTCGCTCACTCGCTCGTTCGTTCGCCAGTCGATTTCAGTCCTCGACGCCGATCGCCGCGATATCAAAAGAGCTACACGGATCGTCCCATTCAGAGGCTAAAAGTCGATAACGATGAGAATGTACAATGAGATATACAGAGGCATGAAGCTCGATAAACGATCCCAAGAAATACTCAGTAGATCTGCCGCGACTGATACCGCCAAGTTAAGGCCGACGATCCGTCATCGCAATCGCAGAAGGAAAAGATTAACATTCATCTTCGATAAAATTTACAACGAGAAGATTGTCGGATATGGAAACATTACAGACAACAATTCACATTCGATAGGACATTGTAAGATGCATCACTAGCTCTATGAGATTAGAGGTGGATTAGAACTGACCATTTAAAGTCACACATTGGACGCGGATCAAAAATTCAAACTTTTAGCTATATACGAATATCACGGCTTTCAAGAAGATGTAATTCATAGAGGAGATCCAATAATCATGCGACATTCTTAACGCGATGACGGATCAGGAGCCTTCAGGAGCGAGACCATCGCGTAATCCTCGCGCTCGATCGTCTCGTCGCGTCTCGCTATTTTATTGTTCTCATTAAACGATCGAATCGCTGGCGCTTGGTCTGAATCGCGCGAAGAGGATTGATGAGCGTCGCGAAGATGGTTTCGTTCAAACGCGAGATACATAATGAGTCCGTTCGCGTGAAAGTCATATAGGTGCGTTTTAGGGTGATCATATCTAAAAGTCTAACGATGATAAGTAAAAACGCTTACTCCTTTCTCTTTCATTTTCTCTTTCTCTCTCTTCGACTTTGTACCGTAAGTAAAAGCACTAATGTGTGCGCGCCGCATCGACGATTAGTTTCTCTACTTTTTTTCTCTCTTCTGTTCAACAATATTTTCTTCTTCGAAGACCCGCTTCCTGCCGGAACCCGCTCGACAACTCGCGTCGGTGCTCCCATAATTCTCTTTCGTTTCCTCTTACTTTTTCTCTCTTTACGCCTATAATCAATTTTAAGTCCGTAACAAATATTTATACTTTCTCGCTCGCGCGAAAGAGAACTATACACGGCTATATTATAGAGATACGTGGGTTAACGCAGAAAACAATCGAAGAAAGACACATAACGATCGCGACATATGTGAGAGATTACACACACTCGCTATTAGCGTCTTGGTACTCGTTATAATCACCCGCGGTACCGGAAACTTCGATATCAGTCTTTTATCTTCACATCGCCTGAATCAAGATTACTTGTCAGATATGAGTTCGGTGCTGTCGTAATACAGTGCAAAAATTATCAATAGTGAGGTGGAGGGGGCGGGAGAAACAATAAATAAAAAGTCGCAGAAGCGAAAGAGGACACGTGCTCTAATAATGATAAATAATATCGATATCACTTTCCACTCGGAATTATTACTCGGTTATTACCCGAATTGTCCAGTCATATATAGTTCCATAAAGTATTGATATTTTTTCTCTTTCGCTTCAAAATGCGCGTTTATGTATAATTTCTAATGAAAAAAACGCAATCAAAATAACTGTGCAAGCGAAATATTTTCACCGTTGCAAATCATTATGGTGCATTGATGTTTTCGCGAATTTATCCACGCGAATAGTCGCAGAGAAAACGACTGATTCTCTCACGTCTCTCGCGCGATCATCCTATGCTACACGATCGGATCTGACTGGTCGATTATCGGATCCATTGGACGCGCACGTTCAAAGCCGAGCGTTATCGTTCTATCATACTATCACGCAATAATAAAATAAAAAATAAAAGCAAGAAATGTTTCGATATTTGAGTACCGTTGTTCTGTCTACTTTTGATTTAGACAGACTCACCCCATGTTGTGTAATCATTCATTCATTAACTTGTGTAACGGCAACACCGCGATAGGGAGATACATTCATCTCTTGTAATTAATTTCTATATACGTTATCTTAATATTTACAGCGCTTGCAATCTTATTATCATTTAAATAATGATTTTCCATAATCTCTCCAGTCTTAATGATTTGCGCATTAAAACTTTTGATTCATAACAAATCATAAGATATCTACTGCGGACTTATTACATGATGGAAAACGAGCTGTACAGTTATTTTATTTAGATAGTGAATTCCAACTTTTCTTTAATGATAGAGATTTTATTTTGGTCCATATTGACGTATACATGATGTTCCTATTATGCGGCTCATTAATATCTTTCCATTTATATGTCAGATAGTCAATGTTACTTTTATTATTTTTCTGAACATCGTAATAGTAATTTCTTTCCCTCCTCTATTCTAAATTCTAACAAAGTGTAATTGTAACATCATTACGTGAGATATATTGTACCCCAAAAAATCATTAAAGCCGCATTGGTGACACACCCTGATAGGGATGAAAGGATTGAATCGCGATCTTGAGTTCCCTAGAAATTGCTTCATATTTCAACGGAAATGATTATCTCCCTACGCAGTGCTCCCTTCTTTTCAAAATCTCGAGTTTGTCTTGCTGTATATGTATATTCACCGTCACCGAAAAACATACGAGAAGCGAGTACACACACAGGACAAGCGCGAGTAATAACAATTAAGTACAAGATTGCGTCAATGGCGTGACATAGCGATGTGATAATGATTATGGTGATAGTATTGGTAATAAAGTAAATACGCCGGTCGGGAGAGTCCTCAAATGATCTTGATCTTGACATATGTTGTCAAGATCACTCAGGGTCATAACAATATATGCTAAGGTCATTGGAAAATTCTTCTCCGATTGGCATATTACGAAATAATAATAATGATAATGATGATGATGATGATGATAATGATGATGATGATGACGATTCCAGAAATAGTTTCTCGAACTGACTGGGATAACGATGACGATGACGATGACGATAATGATACTGATGATGATGATGATACTAATAATGATGATGATACTAATGATGACGATGAAAATAAACCCATAAAACTACTATATAACTGCCTATGTAACTACCAAATAACTGTCATATTACGTATTTACATAGCAGTTACATGGCAATTACATGGCTGGGAAAATGAAGATAATGAGGATGATGAAAATGATGATGATGATGGCGGTGATGATAATAATGCTGTTGAATGATTCGATAATGGATCCGGAAAAGATTTGTCGCTCTTCCTCCGCCATATTTTTTTGCTAAAGATATTTTGGCGAAAGAAAACAATCGAAGATAAAGATACTTTGTACAAAATACGATACAAGTAGCGATGTAACAATACTTTGCAATAGTTAAATATAATATATGTATATATATATATGTATATCTGTATATGCATATGTATATATGTATATCCCGTTACCATTTAGTACGCTATGATCTCCCGTTCCATTTGAACTGTCTCTCTCTCACACACACAGTTATGATATATAGTTATCGTTTGATACATGGCCGATTCGCCCGCCCCGATCGAAAGATCGTAGCGTTTCGTGTCTGCGTTTCATTGGTGTCTGACGTTGCTTCGTATCCCATTTCGTCTCAAATTTTTGTGGGCCATTCAAGACAAGTCCGACGATAAATGGTCACATCGCCGTTCATCCTCGGGCATCATCTTGGATTCGTTCGATTTTCTCCCGATCTGAACAGGCGATCCTGATTCCGAGATTCATCCGAACGGCCAAAAACACGAGGCTCAAGGATCTCTTTCTCTCTTTCCTTTTCTCTATCTCTCTCGCGGCGCGAATGCGACAATTCTATCCGCGTGCAGGTCCATTCGGGAATGCTG